TGATTTCGAGGGGAAAAGAATTGAAATGGGCGCGAAGAGAAGTGGACGAGAACTTCCTATCGGGGAGGACTAGAAAATCATTTACTCGACACGTTACTTTTCGTGACAAACGTACAAGTTTCGTGCGCATGAGTGCTTGCTTGCTTGCTTTACTTTTCGTTTTCTCTCTTCGTTCATTTTTCTTCCTTCCGTCCTTCTGCTCTTCATTTCCTTCTTGTTTCTTTGCAATCCGTTTCTTACTAAATATCCATGGAGCTTAAACCTTACGCCTACACGCGACTACTACATTTATACGTATCGATATGGATAAGAATACGACCGGGCTGACGATCGTCAGGCGAAAAATATTCCTCGACTTACCTACTTGTCGAGAACGGGCAGTCTTCGATTCGACAAATCTCGCTACTGGCAGTGATCTTGTACGTGAACATTTCCACGCGTCGAACGAACTATCATCGTCCAAGTTCGCGCGATAGAAGAAAAAAAAAAAAAAAAAAAAAAATGGACATTTCGAATCCTTCGAAAGGCAGGTCGTCTAAATGTACTTACAAAAATTGTAATTGTTTATCAAAAAAGGATTGGCAGTGTCTTGCGTTAGAGAAACGTCGTTGTCTATCATTGTGCGCAAATACATTGTGATCAAAATCAGAGATTTTCAATTAGTTCTAAAATATGTTATTAACTGTGTTATCTTTTCTGTTTCAAGAAAGCTGCCCCATTTAAACGTAATTTCTCGAAAACGGAAGAATTTTACAAATTCGAACGTGTTTATGGACATTGAAGAGTTTCTTTTTTATAACTAAATCTATCACGAACTTGAAGATTGAAGTCTCCTCTTTACAACGATTCCTTAACATTTGTTGTATGATTTAATGCAAGAGTTTAAAATACTGACAGTTTTTCATCGATTGTAGATATAAAGTACATGTAAAATTGAAACATGAATTCCTGACTTGTATACGAGACGGAAAAGTATTTAGAAAATAGACCTTCCCTTGAAATTGAGAATTATATATGAATAATCATTTATTTTCTTCTCTATATTTGTTCTGCTGTATCAACGTGTAAACTTGAAACAGAAAAGATATTGAAAAGTTCAAAGGACCAACAAACAACCTTTGTTTCTAAAAATTAACAATTTCGTTCGATCCTTTATCGAGTAGCGAGTAATATATAAATACTAACACAATACCAAAACAAAATTTACCATCGTGGTTTCCAAAAAACAAAAATTGACGAAATACTGGGCCACTCATTGAGATCTGTAGAATAAGAACTAAAATTAAGTATAACAAAGTTGCGATTAACGTCGAGACGTTGTCGTTGGCCAGTGATTCAGATCGTCAGTTGGTATCACCGAGGCTCTCCTCGACGATCTTCTCGAGCTGGCCGTTGAATTCCCGGGACGATTTGTCGATCGGAGCCGAGGCGGAGTTTTGGACTTCCTGCAAAAGGCCCTTCTTCAGGACGGTTAGGTACCCCTAGCTTTGAACCGTGTCCGTCATGTATTCCTCGTGCAACGCCAACAGATGACGAGGCACGTCCAACGCCGTGTGCAAGGTGACAGTCACGCCGCGGTTCAAGCTAACAGCTGGATAGAACACGCCGTACAGATCGCGGAACGCGATTCCACCTTGTGGCTGATCGTTGACAAAGAAACGAAGCGTGTGCGTGGTGTCCAGATCCAAGAGGACGCCCACCGTCGAGCCCTGTTGCACGCCACCTTCGGTCCTTTGCGCGTGTCCTCCGCCGTGCATGAACCAAGAACGTTGCCGATCTATGTACATGCTCCAACCTTTGTCGTCCTTGCCTAAGGGTCAAATCGAACATGAAGATGAATCGTCACTACAGACTATGCGCACCTTATATTGCACCGGAGCTCGAATAAGGTTCTACGTTACGTTTTCAGTCGAAACTGAATTGATAGTATAATATGGTATAAGGAAAGTAGCACTTTATGTACAGTGCAATGGTTTAATGGGAGAGAAATAAACTTTCTTTCTTTTCTGAAGAGTTCACACTTGGAACGTAAGAATAATAACAATTGTCGAATAAGAAGATTATCCAGATTTTATGCCAGATCACTAATCAAATATTTCTAGTAAGCGAGCAAAGAAATACAAGTCAGAATTGTTAGTTAAAAAATAAATTCAAACTACATTTAAATGCAAAATCGAGCATCAGATTTTGCCTCGTGGAAGTTAAAATGATAACCTATGCTGTTGAACTTATATCCTTTTACCCGACTATATATCAGAGATATATCGTTTCATTGTTCAGAACCAGGTTCTCGGCAACGATTTGGAAATTCCATTGACTTTTAGACAAGCCGAAGGCTTACACGATTTAACTGATAATCACCGTTCGGCAATTCTACAGCGGACAACGGTCGCAGTAAAAGGAATTTGCGAATAGGGCACTTTCGTCCTCCATAGATGATGATGATCGCTTTGAAAAGCGGAACGTGAGCAAACCGAGGGTAGGATCAATAGCCGGTAGATTGTGCCTAAATCAACTTACCGAGCATTCGATCCCGCGATACTTCGGCCCTGGCTATGCCAAACGCTGGATCTGTGTCGCTGTGATAACGATCGATCGTCAGCTCCCAATAATGAACGCCCCGTGAAAATCCGACGCTCGATAGGACGACTCGGTGCTCGTATCCCTCGCAGGATGCGCTCATCGCGTCCTCGGAAATTGATACCTCCTGTGGTATACCGGAGGCCCCGGTTGCCCACGAGAACCACGCCACTGTCCAACAAAGGATCCCCCTCTCTCCGATTAAATAATCGACCGATCGATTCTGCTCGTCGCTCTCTGTTTCTACCTTGGCCATTGTTCTCGAATGACGGCGACCGACGAAATCGAGTGGGCAAACTCGAGTAATACATAACGCGTGGTCAATGCCGCGATCGGAAACCGAACGCTACACGTGAAATAGAAACCGGAAGCTATGGCCAAGGCTATGGCTCAGGACACGCGTATGC